CTGGACCAGGATGTTGGGGCCTGAGCGGCAGGTGGTGCTAACCACGGTGGGGGAGTCATGCGTGGGTCGCACACTTAGTCATTCGGGGGAACTGGGAGAAGGGAGGCTGGCCCCCTCCCTCTGATGTTGTGGGGGCGAGTGCGAGGATGTGTCAGCCAAGTGAAGGATTTTGTCAGGCTTCTTTGAAGGGTAGGTGGATCTTTGCTCCTTTCATTTCCTCTTCTCTCTCAGCGGCCGTGAAACTACCAGAAGGGCCTGAAGTCAGAAAAGAAGGGGCAAGGGGTCAGTTCATTTCTTCTCTGGGCACACATGGTGGGTGGCCCAGTGAGAACTGATAAAATATAATTGTGTCTCCATTATCTACACAATTCTGCATGATTCTGGCAGGGGTGGGGTGTCAGCGAGTCCTCCTGTGGCCACTTGGGGCCATGGTTAATTACCCTGTCCTGGGGTCCCTTGGTTCAGATGCAGGGAGAAGAGGGGAAGGACCTGGGCAACTCTGTCCAGACAGCCAGCTGCTGTCTTGCAGGTGAGAACAAAACAAACTGCCATTTACCTGCATGTGATGGGAGTTTAATTTTGACCTACATGTATTAGTTCGGGGCTCTCAAACCCGAGGGAGCATCAGAATCTCCTGGAGGGCTCGTTAAGGCCTCCTCAGCTCAGAATTTCTGACTCAGTGGGTTTGAGTTGGGGCCAGATGACTTGTATTTCCAAGTTCTCAGGTGACACTGAAGCTGCTGGTCTGGGGACCAAACCTTGAGAACCATGTAGCCGTTTACTTCACCTCCGCTCATCAGCTCGGGCGCAGCTTTCCAGCTTGACGAGGCAGCTGGGTGCGAGTCGGTGAATGGTTTACCACGTCGCTGCCAGGATGCACACGCCACTGAAAGCACCCACCAGTTCTTGGATCCCTGTAAATTCAGTGTTCTGTTTTTTGTTTAATTTTCCACATTAGCATGATAATGCTATTTGGCATGATGTTGGAGCCCAGAAAGTGAAGGTCCTGGGAATGAGAGGACCTCGAACTGGCGCAGCGCAGCTCACCTTTAGAGCCCCTGAAGACAGGGCCTTTACGTGTTCTCAGCTCCGACTGTTCGAGTTCTCTTGTTCTTTACATTGAACATAGTTGTCCACATTTTAAGAAAAACACTGGAGGGTCTGACAAGCAAACTGGGAGCCCACTTGCATTTGCGTACCAACTTCCCATAGTTAAGGGAGCCATGCGCTGCCTGCAGGGATACTTCCCAGCTCACTGCCTCGCCAGGGGGAATCCTACAGCTGTTGCAGACAGAGGTGCAAACTACAATTGCTGAGATGAATGCCCATGAGGCTTCTTCTGGTTGAACGTGGTTGGACTGGGCCCTGAGGCAGTGAATCCAGGGCTGGACTTCATTCTGATGCTGAGTTGATGTTCTAGGTCAGTGATACTCAAACTTCACTGTGCACGTGAGTCACCTGGGGATCTTGTTAAAATGCAGATTCTGATTGAGAAGGTCAAGAGTCTGAATTTCCACCAAGCTCCTGAGTGATGCTGATGCTGCAATGCCAACATTGAGGACCCCTGGGGACTTTTAGCCACTGCGTCTTCGGATGTGTGTGAAGATGGAGGTGGAGTTTATTTTAAATAATTATGGCAATGACCTGGGAACCTTAGAAAGTGAAACCTACAATCTTCAAAAGTAGTGGAATTAGTGGGCCCAATATGTGCCTGAAATTTCACCTAGTCAGTGAACTACCTCCTCACCGACAAGGTTTATGATGCCCCTCTCCTTTGGCTCCCCCAGGACAAGGAATTGCTCTTAGTGCACAGATCATAATGGTCCATCACCCCTGTTAGTCTGGAACCCTTGTGATGCAGTGACTGGGTTTTAACATCCTCTGTGTCCTCTTGATGTGCAGCTCAGAGCACAATAAGTATTTGTTGCCTGAATGAACATATCTGACTTCCCTTCTCTTGTGGGTAGTGAACACCAGCCCATTACTAGGTGTTTAACAGCACAGTCCACTCTGACATGTCTTAAAAATGTGATAGAGGAGCCATGGGGGTGGAGACATAATTTGACTTCCATCTTACCAACACTTCTCTGGTTGTTGTGTTGAGAATTAAGTGCAGGGCGAGAGTGAAACAGGCACGAATGACGGTGGCCTGGGCTAGAATGTCACCAGTGGAGGTGGTGAGAAATGGGTGAACTCTGGATTTTGCAGGTAGAGTCAGCAGGATTTGCTGACAGATTGGATGTGGGGCGTGAGAGAGAGAGAGGGGTTAAGGATGACTCTCAGGCTGGTGGCCTGAGCCACCAGAAGCATGGGGCTGCTACCAGTTGAACTGGGGGAGATATGGGTGAAGCCGGCGCGGGAGGGTGAGCATTAGGAACTCAGTTTTGGACACATTAACTGTGAGAAACCCGACTTGAGACATCCAAGTGGAGCTGCCAATAGGCAGGTGACTGCATGTGTGGGTTTGGGAGATTCAAGCTGGAGATACACCTTTGGGAGTCACCAGCACATAAAAGGCATTTACGTCCCAAGGTGGAATGAGATGACCAAGAGAGGGAGCTTAGGTAGAGAAGAGGGCCAAGGACTGAGCTCTGGGGTGCTCCACGGTTAACAGGTTAGGTAGACAAGGAGGAACCAGCAAAGATTGGGGAGTGACCCCGAGGAAGGAGAAGAACCAGGAGACGGCGGCATCCTAGAAGCCAGTGGAGGAAAAGTTCAACAAGGAGTGGGAGTGATCAGCTGTGCCCACGCTGCCCGAAGATCAACTATGAGGAGAGTGAGAGCCCATCACTGAATTCAGCATGATGGGAGCCCCTGGAGACCTGGAAAAGGGTGGTGGGGAAATGACGGGTGAAAGCCTCTTTAGAGCAGTTTAAAAAGAAAGGAATAAGCCCCAGCCAGCTGGTTGGAGCATCCTCTCTTGCACCGGAAGGTCGCAGGTTTGATTTCTGGTCAGGGCACATACCTAGGTTGTGGGTTCAACCCCCGGCCCTGGCGCGTATGGGAGGCAACCAATCAATGTACCTCTTACATCAATGTTTCTCTCGCTCCTCCCATTCTCTCTCTCCCCCTCCCTGCCTCCCTCTCTGAAATAAACTAAAGAGAGAGGGAGAGAAAGGAATGAGAGGAATTCATGATAGTAAGTATAAGTTACTCTTTTAAGATAGCTTCCTACAAAAGACAGCAGAGTAGCAATGGGTGGTACCTGGTAGAGGAGGTGGGTCAAAGGAAGGTTTTGCTCTTGTTTGCTTCAAGATGGGAAAGATCCAGTAGAGAGAGAACTGATGACACAGAAGAGAGAGGCTCAGCTTGGTCAAGTACCCACCAGGTTCAATCAATAGGAAACTGAAACCATATCGTACAAAAGACAGCAATCTTGTGGATGGGGCAGGGGCAGTTTCCATGAAAAGCAACGTCAGACAAGCCAATAGCTGTCCTTTACAAAGAGCACCATTTCTGGCTCCTTACCGTGAGCTCCCACACTTTGCTTTACCCTCAGTCTACTTAGGAGGTGTACACTCTTGCCCCATTCACAGGCCAGGCAGCTGAACAGTAAAGCCGGGAATCTGCTCAAAGGCACAGGAAGGTCAGTGGCAGAGCTTGAATCCAGGGATACTGAACATCCAGAGGCTGTGTGTCCACACACTGCACTCACCTGCCCTCCTCCTCGGCTCTGTGAAGGAAGGAGACAGCTCACGAGGCCCCCAGCAGTCTCCTTACTTCAGGTTTGCCTGCAAGAGATGGGTGTTCTGAGCCGGACACTTGTCAACTTAGAATGTTCTCAGCAAAGCTTTAGGAATATTTGAGTAAGAGGAAATAAGACAGACAAGTGTTCCTCTTCTTTTCTTTATTAATGAGTTGAGATACACAAAGACTTAATAAAAAGTTACATAAAAGGCTCAAGCATCATTGAGATCTTCAGGCATCACTCTCGTCTCACGACAATGGCCACCTGTTAACACTGTGTAACAGAAGCTGGGCGCTCACAGGCGCTCCATTATTCAAGTATCTTTCATTCTAAGTAAACCCCACATGGAGTTTCTAATCCAATGGACTGCTATGGAGGGAGCCTGCCTATGGCTCTGGACTTCCTGTAACACATGAAGGGCCTTTGAGATAGAGCTACCACGTGTTAGTGGGTCACGTCTCCTGGCAAAGTGAGACAGGCCACACTAGGCTACCAGGCACCCTCCACAGCAAGTACCACAGGCAGGTGGGAGCAAAGTCCTAAGAAAAACCACCCAAACTCCCCCTGTGTGGCAAAGTGCAGGGGAAGTCAGTGGCCATACCCCCAGGCTGTGGGGTGGGGAGGATGGCTAGGGCTACCTGCTGGGGAGAAAAGGAGCCCTTGAAGGGAGAGGGTGTCAGAATGTTAGAAGGAAATCTGAGAGCACACAGTGGCAAAGGCATGGGGTAAGGGGATTTCAGGAAGGGTGTGCTACAGGGGAAGTACTATTCAGGTAGTCCGGAAAAACAGTGGGAACACCAGGATGTCACGAAAGACACAAGTCCCGTGGGGCTCCTCAGTCATGAAGTAGCCTGGCCAACTGGTTCCCAGACTGACCCTGCCAGGTGACCATGGAGAAAATGTACTGGGGATGCCCCAGGGTACACTCCACTCTGGCCTGTCTGGAAGCCTTCACGGCCACAGGAGCCCACAATTCTCTAAAATACTAAGAACTATCTTTTAAAAGTGTTTTTACCCATCTCACCTATGAGGAAAATGAGGTCATGGGAGATGAAGGCTGACCAATGGCTCAACAGCAGGGGCCGCAGAAGGCCATCCCTTAGCCAGTTTCTCTCTTGGGCACTGTGGAGTTAAGCTGTGGGCTGAGTGCGGGATGGACGCCCTGGAAGGCGAGGCCTTCCCCGTTGGGCAGGGTACCTGCAGTGGTTGAAGCCCCCTTGTCTGGTTACCTTCATGGCTAAGGGCTTCATTCTATGTCAGCTGATCTGCTTCCAAGACTCCCTGTGTAGTGCTCAGGGAGTTGCAGGCTCACCGTGGGCAGGGTGTGCTGGCAGTGGCTTGTGCCGAGTAGATGCTTTCCAACAGCGGACACTGCCCCTTGTGCAGGGCTCCTTGTGCCACTCCACCACTGCCTCGATGCGACGCATCTCCATCCCGACGTCTTCCCACCTGCCTCGCCTCTTCCTCACCAGACTGCAGCTGCCGTCAAACTGCGTCCGGGGCTGCTGGCTCAGAGGAGCATAAGGTTGGAAAGAGCCTCGTCCTGTTAGTGTTTAAAATGCCCGTTCATTAACATTATAGGATCTTGCGAAGCAGTGAGGTGCCTGATTTGGAATGGTCTTTATTATCCTTCCTTTTAAGGGTCAGAAAAAAGGGGCATTTTGACAAATAAAGGAGTTTGATTTCCAACTAACAAAAGTCTCCACTGTTTCATTCTGCAGCAGAATCCCTCCTAGGCCAGCCCCTTGGTGCTCATGATCTTGCCCGGTTGGGAACTCAGCACACTTTCAAAACTGGAGAGGGATCCCGGTGTCCCGACGTCCAGCCATGCACTCACTTTCCCCGGGGTTCTTTCTCCAAACAGTGGCCAGGCCACCTGCTAGGGATGTTCCAGTTTGCCTAGTGATCTGATTTGTAACATTTGGAAAATAAGGTCACTAGCTGTGCCACCTCGTCTTCTGACCTCCTCTCAGGGGTGCACTGCCATTCCTGCTGCCCCTCTACCCTGACCCTGGCCCCCAAATCCAGTCTTTGGCTTTTGTCAGCAGCACCTGAGGGGGAGGTGGACATTGTCAGGGAGTTGGGGGACATCCCCTCATAGAAACAGGTGAACGGGAGCAATGTCATCACCTCAACCTTCCTTTCTCCTCCGATCATATATTATAGTCAAAAAGTAGTGCCAGAGCCTGGCCGGCATGGCTCAGTGGTTGAGCATCATGCCATGCACCAGGAGGTCACTGGTTCAATTCCCAGTCAGGGCACATGCCCAGGTTTTGGGCTCGATCCCCAGTAGGGGGCGTGCAGGGGGCAGCCAACTGATGTTTCTCTCACATTANCTGCAGTGGTTGAAGCCCCCTTGTCTGGTTACCTTCATGGCTAAGGGCTTCATTCTATGTCAGCTGATCTGCTTCCAAGACTCCCTGTGTAGTGCTCAGGGAGTTGCAGGCTCACCGTGGGCAGGGTGTGCTGGCAGTGGCTTGTGCCGAGTAGATGCTTTCCAACAGCGGACACTGCCCCTTGTGCAGGGCTCCTTGTGCCACTCCACCACTGCCTCGATGCGACGCATCTCCATCCCGACGTCTTCCCACCTGCCTCGCCTCTTCCTCACCAGACTGCAGCTGCCGTCAAACTGCGTCCGGGGCTGCTGGCTCAGAGGAGCATAAGGTTGGAAAGAGCCTCGTCCTGTTAGTGTTTAAAATGCCCGTTCATTAACATTATAGGATCTTGCGAAGCAGTGAGGTGCCTGATTTGGAATGGTCTTTATTATCCTTCCTTTTAAGGGTCAGAAAAAAGGGGCATTTTGACAAATAAAGGAGTTTGATTTCCAACTAACAAAAGTCTCCACTGTTTCATTCTGCAGCAGAATCCCTCCTAGGCCAGCCCCTTGGTGCTCATGATCTTGCCCGGTTGGGAACTCAGCACACTTTCAAAACTGGAGAGGGATCCCGGTGTCCCGACGTCCAGCCATGCACTCACTTTCCCCGGGGTTCTTTCTCCAAACAGTGGCCAGGCCACCTGCTAGGGATGTTCCAGTTTGCCTAGTGATCTGATTTGTAACATTTGGAAAATAAGGTCACTAGCTGTGCCACCTCGTCTTCTGACCTCCTCTCAGGGGTGCACTGCCATTCCTGCTGCCCCTCTACCCTGACCCTGGCCCCCAAATCCAGTCTTTGGCTTTTGTCAGCAGCACCTGAGGGGGAGGTGGACATTGTCAGGGAGTTGGGGGACATCCCCTCATAGAAACAGGTGAACGGGAGCAATGTCATCACCTCAACCTTCCTTTCTCCTCCGATCATATATTATAGTCAAAAAGTAGTGCCAGAGCCTGGCCGGCATGGCTCAGTGGTTGAGCATCATGCCATGCACCAGGAGGTCACTGGTTCAATTCCCAGTCAGGGCACATGCCCAGGTTTTGGGCTCGATCCCCAGTAGGGGGCGTGCAGGGGGCAGCCAACTGATGTTTCTCTCACATTAATGTTTCTATCTCTCTCTCCTTCTCCCTTCCTCTCTCTGAAATTAATAAAAAAATAAAAACATATTTAAAAGTATGTACCAGAAAGGCAACCTAATGCTAAATTTGCAAATTATTTACTGGGCTTAAGAAGTGGTCGTCAGTTGATTCAGAGGGAATATGGTTCCAGGTCTTGGTGCTGTTTTAGGAATAACAGTACTGGATCACTTTTGGTTAAAATTCAGCATGAACTAGAATGCCCCGGATGGCATCCACACAGCTCACTTTGACGTGGAGAAGCCTGCAGGCCTGTGTCAGTGTGTCTGTGACGGAGAGGCGCCAGCGAGAGGCGCTGGCAGCGCAGGCCAGGTGAGGAAGCCCTATCCCGGCAGGAAGAACAGAACTGGACCCCTGCGGACTGGAAAAGACACGAACAATTGGGCAGATCTGCTTGCTTAAGTTTATACATTGCCAGGATAACATAACCCCTTTTAGAACAGACATGCTCGTGCCAGCCTCTCCCCTCAGCAAAATACAATTCTGTTTCCTAATATCCACAGTAAAACCCTCCGGTTAAACACAGCTCTCATCTCGCTAGTTTACAGGCCGCGGGCAGGGTCCACTTCTCCTGAGGCCTCCAGCTTCGGCCCTCAGTAACTTCTGGTCTCAGTCCCTGTATGTTCATAGTGAGTTGAGTTTGGCACTGCTGGGAAAATTCAATTTAAAACAACGACAATATCACAGACATGTTGTCTGAGAGATCTGCTAAAGACTTGAAGCGCCACCAGGCAGTGGGCACAGACCCCCTGGGTACAATAATCATCACTAAAATAATTTAAAAACCTACAAAAGACACCCAAACTCAGACACCGAGGACTGGAGACAAGAGGGGAGCTGGACCATGGCTTGTTCCGTAATCTGTACGTGGTCGGTAAACACTTCCACGTCCAATCAACACTATGTTCAAAGAAACAACACAGCCGCCAAGAGATGGGGAGGAATGGGGCTGAACCAACATGAGGGGCCCCGATGCTGCTTCTGTGCGGCGCCGCTTCCTTGTGTCTTGAGACACGGAAAAGCCTGTGCCCTTGCGGGGAAGCTGGACCCCATTTCCTCCCTGCCACCTTCCCTCTCTCCCTTCCTGTGCCAAGTCCTCGGGTCAGGGTCATGGTTAGAAATGGTTTTCAGTGAGGTTAGGCAGTGGAGGGGTCCCAAGGGCTGGCCAGTTCATGGTCACTGTGCCTGGGGCCTCAGGCCCATCACAATATCACGCACTGAAGTTTGTGGGTGCCAGTGGCCCGGTCTCCCCGCCATTTGGTTTTCTTCTTCTTCTTCTGGCTTTTTTCTGGAATCTGTTGCCTTTTGAGACAATAAAGGCAGAAAATCAAAGTCAGAATGGGCTTTGCTTCTCCCTGTCCCTTTCTTCCCTTGCCCCTGGGTCTGAGGCCAGGCAGCTTGGGACGGGGGCAGAGAGGCTGCTGTCCTAGGTTCTGGAGGAGGGCTGGCCTGGAAAGTGTCTCCGAGGCAAGGAAAGTGGGGACGGGGAGAGGGCAGAGCCTGTCACCCTACTGGTGAGAATTCCTGCCATCATGCTGTGGCTACGTTGATTTAAATCATACTCTACGTTCTGTGTTATTTAGTGTTAGCCTCTATTTCCATGTTTCATATTTTAAATAAAATGACAGGATAACCAAGTACAAAAGCTTTATACATGTTTTCCATTAATTTTTCCTATGTCTAAAACCTGTCCTGGGAACTATAGGTACATAACCAAGACTTCGTCACCTCCTGGTGACAGCATATCCTAATTGGAGGCAAAATGCTCACGAGAAAAATAATTTCAAGAGTGCATAAGATGCCGGCTGCAATGCGACAGTTCGTGCTGGGAGGCTGAAGCACGTGTATGTGCATGTGCCAGCTGGCTGTATTGGGGGGCTAAGGGGTTGGCAGTTCGAGAAGGACACTGTTAGAGCCCTGTGTGTGGTTTCACAACTAACCAGCAGCCTCCAAGTTCATCAACATAAGGCGACTGCTAAATGCTGGTTTTGAGAGCCACTGGCTAGGCTGCTCTATGTGTTGAAGATTTTGGAAATGGGAAAGGTAGGTGACAGGGAGACCAGCCCGGAGGCTGTTTCAGTCACCTAAGCATCAGGTGATTAAGGCTTGAAGCCTGACTATGCAGAGGAATGTACAAGAGACTACTGGCTGGGATTTCTGACAATCCTTGTAGACCAACTGTGTGTGGGGTCTGCAAAGGGACACACGCTAACACCTCTGTGATTTGAGCCTGGGAATCAGAATGTTGGTTGTTCAGGTGAAATGTCAAAGGGCAGCTATGGTGTGGGGTGGGGGGACACTGAGGGCAGGATGGAGGGAGCTGCCTCAGGGAAGCCAAGCTGCAGGACACGGGGGAGGCCAGTGAGGAGGCTGAGCCGCTGCCTCAGGCAGCAGGCACTTCCCTTTAGCTGGTGATGCTTCACTCACAGGGAGTGGGGTGGGCAAAGGGAAGTGGGGAGAGGAGAGAGGTGAAGAAATCTAAAAACAGGCCCAGAAGTGCCCAGCCTCGGCCTGGGATGAAGGAGCAGTGTTCCTCCAGGCCTCCTGGTGCCCACCTTGCAGCAAAGGCCCTGTTCTAAGGCGGCATGTGGCACTCACCTAATTACTCTAACCAGGTCATGGAAGGCTTTGTCCACGTTGAGAGGTGGGTCCTTGGCACTGGTTTCTATGTACGGAATCTGGAAGGCAAAGCGTACTTTTGGTAAAAGGGGCACTGAGATCCACATGCAAATTCTCTGTGGTCCTGAGGATCCAGATGCTTTTAGAGCCCCCACAGAACCCTACCTCCAACGTGCCCCAGCCCCCTCGGTGGCTTCTCCCTTTAAGGTTGGAAAGTTTTACTGACAGTTTTTCCAGCTCCCTCTTGCTCTCCAGCCACAGAGACACTTAATAGCTCCCTAAAAATGGAATTCAAATGATCTTTTTCTGTACTTGAAGACTAAGGAATTTCATTTATCAAACTAAAATATGTTCTGATTCTACTGATTTTTCTTCCTAAGTTCTATTTCTCTACCTTGGGGGACTTCTGCCCCCCTTCCCAGGCTCCAGAGAGGATTCGGGTGGTAAAGGCTGAGGTGAGGCTGTGCAGTGGCCAGGACTCTGCACCCTGGTGACCCCTGGCCAGTCTGCGCCCCCCACCCCAACCGGGCTGTCCACCCAGCTCTTGTCTGGTCTGCGTCCACCACAGACCAGAAGGCTCGTGTCTGCCTGTTAAATGTGCAGGAATCAGCGCAGGCTGAAAGGCAGCAGCGTGCTGGGAGGTGTGGCCGAGGTGACCCCGTAGGACGGGGTGTGAGAGCCACGTCCACTCCTTGCCTGGCACAGGGATGAGGTCGGGACACAGCCCCGAGTGCTCGTCCGTGCCTGTAACAGGGACTCCACCAAGTCAGGACGGGCTCACCCGCTGCCCCACGAGTGAAGAGCACGCGGGGGTCACACAGCACACACGGGGCCCCTGGACGAGACAGAGGTCAGCCAGCTGTGACTGGACTGAGGAACCCGGGCATTTTTTGTAACCTTTCCCTAATGACAAATGTAAGGCACTTCATTGTAACACGTTTGAAAAAGAAGAGCACAGTGAATAGAAAAATGACCAACACTTTAAAAATGACGGGGACGGGAAGTTGTTACTGTACAGGAGGGTGTTGGAAACGAATGCCCAGAACATCATAAAGGATCTTTCCATCAACTGTCATCGGGAGAGATCAGATTTCACACTGTGGGGGCTTCAAGGGGAGGACAGTCTTGTAGCTGATCAGACACAAAGGTCCAAGCACAAGGGCAGGGCTCAGGCCTCTGAAATATTCATTTGACAAATACTTGAGCCTCTAATGACCCTGAAAGGAAACTGCCCTTGATTATAGGCTATCAGATTATAGTACAGTCATTGAGATGACTGTGGGCTGTTTGGCCTCCCAGGTAGGTCTCAACATCCTTGACCTCCCTTAACCCTTACCTTCACCTTACCCCCCTGAGGTAGGCAGTATCTCCATTTTACAGCTGGGAAAACTGAGCTTAAAGTGGTGGCATACTTGCCCAAAGCCACACGACAGAGAATCAAGGTAATTACACAGCCCCTAACTGGTCTCCCTGCTCCCACCCTTGTCCCCACGGACCATTCGCAACACGGCCATCAGAGCAAAGCTGTTCAGCCATGAGCCAGACCACCTCACTCCTCATTCAAAACCCGCCGAAGGTTTCCCCTCTCACTCTGAGTAAAAGTCCACAAGGCCATAAGCCATCTCTCTGACCGCACGCCTGCCACTCGCCCCTCCTGCCCCTGCTCCAGCCTCACAGGCCTTGCTGTCCCTCAAGCTCCCGCCTGGGTACCTCTGCGCCATCACTCCCTCTGCTGGAACATTCTTTCCCCTGTGACCCGCAGGGCTTATTCCCCCACTTCTTATAGGTCCTTGCCGACATGTGCCCTTCCCAGCAAGGCCTTCCCTGACCACCTATTTGGAAAAGCACCCCTGTACCCCACACTCCCAACCCTTTTCCCTGATTTACTTTTTTCCACAGTACATGTCACCTCTGACACACTCTAACCTGCTTTTTATCTGTCTCCTGTCACTAGAAGGAAAGGAGTTGCGTTTCCCAGGGCCTAGACGTGGTTAATGAATGAACACAGAAGGCAGAGATGAGCAGAATTACCTCCCAGGGAGCCCCCTTCCTCTACATAAAGAGCTGGGCCCACTGGGCAGAGGGCAGGGGCAACCTTGCAGATTCCTAGCAGGCAGGGGGGACTTCTACACGATTGACCCATGAGGCCGGGGGCATGGGCTGTGCCAATTTTGGGAGAGGTGAAGAGAAGTCCAGTAGCCCCACCCAGGACCATCCAGATGACAAAGGGGCATCACAGTGAACTAAACACAACACAAACATGTCTGCTGACACTGTGGCCTGGGTGAACCTCAGTTTGAGCCCTTGTAAAATGGAGATAATTGAATCCACCTCAATGTGTGGCTGTGAGGAGTACTCCCCAGCACAGTGCCTGGCCCAGAGCAGGGCTCGGTGAACAGCAGCTGATCCTAAGATTCTGAGCTCAATTAGGCAACTGGCTTAGAGATGGGACAGAGCAAATCCTCTGTGCAGCCCAGAGGTGACCTGCTGTCAGGGGCCAGGAGGTGGCCTGTACACCACAGCTTGCAGTCCACTGTGAAGGCACCTATTCCTCACATTAGAGTCTCTAATGACTGACAAGAGGGTGCTTTCTCTCTGATCTGTTGTTTTGTTTCACAGAATAACCCACATTGCATGTGCTGCTAAGCCTCTACCTGGAATCTAGCCCACTACCTCCAGTCTTGAGTTCCATTCACACAGACCAGGACTGCAGGAGTGATGGGGTATTGACTTTTATACATCCCTTAATACTCCCAATACACACACACACACACACACACACACACACACACACACATGCAACTTACATTGTGTTTGGTCGCCATTTCTTTTCCTTGCTCCCTGGTGATTTTCCTCAAATGCATCAGATCGACCTTGTTGGCCACAAGGATCATGGGGAATGACTCCCTGGGAAACAGGAAGAGCAGCTTGTGAGGTTTCGCTGTCCCCACCCCCAGTGAAGGTGGTCCAGCCACACTTCAGGCATACCACAGCACGTGGTGCCTCCTCGGTGGCATGGGCCTGACCTGAGTCCTTTCCTCCACATCTCCGGGAAGGGAAAGGGACCTGGAGGCTGCTGGCTGTCCTGGCTTGAAGGCTTAGGCCTGTTGCAAGGTGAGTGAGGGGCCCCCCAGGGAACCCCCTGGCTCAGCACTCTGAGTGAGGGCACCGAGGGGCTGCTGGGCCAAGGCTGAGTTCCCAGACCTGCCTCCTTCCACCTCTCAGTCACCTAGATGCACCAGCCATGCAGGGCTGCTGTGGCCATCAGCAATGATTCGTGGAGAGCACCAGGGCCAGGGTACGTCACACAGTTGGCACTCAGTGAATGGCAGCTGCAAAATCAGGATGACCCTCAGAAGAAGAAGGATGGGATCAAAAGGCACGTCTGCCTTAAAGAATCCCATGGGCACACGTGGCCAAGCTGCTGTCCAAAAGTGAATAAGACGCCAGTCTCACAGCAGCTCTGTTGGCACTGGCTATTTTCATTAAGAAAATTATCTCTGGACAGGTGAAAACAGTACTTATTTTTCCTCGCACTTCTTTGGTTAGCTAGAAGGTTGAGTATTTTCCCACATCTGAGTCATTTATGCTTGCTCTTTTGAGTTTCCTGTAGTCAGGGGCTTAACCCACATTTCTCTTCTATTTATTTATTTAAAAAAATATATCTTTATTGATTTCAGAGAGAGGAATGGGGAGGGAGAGAGAGAGAGAGAAAAACATCAATGATGAATCACTGATCGGCTGCCTCCTGCATGCCCCCTACTGGGGATCGAGCCCCCAACCCGGGCATGTGCCCTGATGGGGAATCGAACCATGATCTCCTAGATCCTAGGTCAATGCTCAACTACTGAAGCCACACCTGGCCAGGCCACATTTCTCTTTTAGAGCTGTGCGTGTGAGTGTGTGTGTGAGTGTGTAAGAGTGTGAGACAGAGGGGCTGGGGAGAGAGAGAGAGGGAGAGAGAATTGTATATCCCTTTACCTTGTAAAATTATTAACATTTTGCCTTCGGGATAGTGTTAGCTGAATTTTGGGGACTTACTGAGATTTGCTCAAAGTTTGCCCTTTTACTGTCTTTACATTGCCTCTTTAAGTTACAATTAAAGGGGGGGAGGGGGACTATTCAGGCTTAAAACAAACTCCAAATGATCTAACTACTCCATATAATGCTAAGGGGAAAAAAGAGCCTTTAATTGGGAGCTCACATTCAAATGCAATTTAACCAATTACAATGTATGCTGGGGGAAAAAATTCACTTTTTCTTTATAACAAATAATTGGTTAAATTGGAGCTGAAGAACAGAGATGTTACTTAGGACTCCTTGATTCATTGGTGGGGGCAGTTTAGGAGATGGGAGGGAGGTGACCCCTTGGCGCCTTGGAAGCAGTTTGATCGCAGCATGAACTAGGGTAGGAGTCAGGGGGCCCAAGGTCTGAATTCCGCAGAGGCTGCCTGAGCCAGGAGCTGGGACCTGGCCCGCTGTGCTCACCTGTCCTTGACACGCAGGATGAGCTGGTGGAAGCGGTCCACGTGCTCGAAGCTGGCCTTGTCTGTGACAGAGTAGACGATGAGGAAGCCGTCCCCCGTGCGCATGTACTGCTCCCGCATGGCGCTGAACTCCTCCTGCCCGGCTGTGTCCAGAACTGGGGTGGGATGGGGTGGTTGTCACCAGCCACCCTGGAGCCCCCCACGGCCTGCAGATCCCCATGCTGCTGCTGTCGCCGAGGTGGCTCAATACAAACCGTCCCCATGAGAGCCACACAGGTCCCTGGGCTGTGCTGTGAGGGTCCTGGCAGGGCCTCAGACACCTCCATGTGAGGTGGCTTATTTGTGGCCCCACTGATCCCAACCCATGGTGCTCCCTGGGCCTTAGTTCTCAGTATATACAAAGGCCTCAGGAAGTCTGTGATCTGCTCTACTTCGAAGTCCCTTGGACAGGTGCCCAGGCCTAGGCTCGGTCCCTACCATGGCCCTTCCAAACGGATTCTTGGGTAGGTTACCTGACTCTGAGCCTCCTTTCCTCTGTAACTCTCCAGTTAAAGGGAAAAGCAAATCAGAAGTTACAGACAGTTTAGAACTGAACAACAATGAACAGTAATAAAGCCTCTTGTGTGAGGCCAAAGTGATACTCAGAGGAAAAATATAGCTTTAAACCCACTGTTGAAAACCAGAAAGACTGAAAATTAAGTAAGCATTTAAATCAAGAGGCTAGAAAAGAAAAAGTAAATCAAAACAAAAGGAAGAAGAAATCAGTACTAAAAGTATAAATTAAGAAGATGGGAGAAAGGAAAAAGTATTGATATTTACAAATAAAAAGCTGATTCTTTGAAAAGATCAATAAAAATTTAAAAACCTTTACTGACTTTTACCAGAGAAAAAATGAAAAGACAAATAAGCATTTGGAATGAGAAAAGGCCTATGACTATGAATATAGATATATACTTAATTAGAGAGAAAACTATATGCAGGTTTATAGCAATACATTCTCAGTTCTCGATGAAATGTATGATGTCAGAAAATATAAATGAGCAAAATTATAAAACCTGAATAGGCCGATAATTATCAATGAAATTGATGAGATAAAACCTACCTCACGAATGGCACAAAGCTATTCTTGTAATCTACAAATTGTTCCAGAGCACAGAAAATAGAGGAACTTTCTAACTCATTGTAAGAGCCCAGCATAATCCTAATCAACTGGATGGGGACAGCATGTGGGTGTGGGGTGACCGCCAGGCCCGCCCACTCTGGGGGATAGGAGCAACCTGCATGTGGGACCCTAAGAGGTATATTCAGCCATCCATTTGTCAATTGTTTTCCAAGTACCTGCTCTGGGCCAACCACTCTATGTGGCACTTCGGGTGGTTAAAGACTAAGATGCATCTGGCTCTTAAGGTACTTAGAGGCCAATAATATGAAACAGAAAGTGATACATCCTGCGGAAAAGCTAGGGAAGGGCGGCAGTCTCTTCACCTTGGAAAGATAATGGAAGATTTCAGCAAAGAAGAGACATTTAATCCTGCCCTTGAAGGACAAACAGAATTTGACATGAAAAGATGGGGCCTGGGGAAAGGTCTTCCAGGCAGAGAAACAGCATGAGCAAGGGCCTGGAGGCTGGAAAAGAGAGAGCAGTGAGGAAGCTGGATGCTGGGGTAAAGGGTTTGTGAGGGGGACAGGAGGTAGAAAGAGGAGACAGCGAGACCAGAGGCTGGGGACCTTGGGTCCTAAGCTAATATGTTTGGACTCTGTGGGTAATGGGGAGCTATTGAAGATATAGAAAGTAGAGAGATGTAGTCAGAATTTGGCAGCCAAAGCGGGACAGCCATGCAGGCAGGGAGACCTGAGAGGAAGTGGAGGAGGGAGCTGGACAGAAGCAACCAGAACATAAGTGCAGGCAGGTGAATTTGAGGTGGAGAGAAAAGAATGAATGGGGCACACCAAGGACACAAAACATAGGGAATGGTTGTGAAAGATGAGGGGAGAGAGGAGAGTTGAGGGCACCTTGGAAATTCCAAAGCTTAGGCCCCAGGAGGGCAGGTGCAACAAGGGAGGGGGAGGTGGGGGCTGAGCTGGGCCTGGTCTGGGGTGTGGTCCCATCCCTTGTCCCCTCCATACACATACACCTGGAAGTGCCTGGTCATAGGCCCCTTGTCAGCAGCTCTGCCTCCAAGGCTTCCTGGAGGAGGCTGAAAACAGTGAACAACTAGGCTTTTAAGAAATTATGATTCTGCCTGCATTCCCGCTGCCTGCTGTCATGAAGGCAGGAGGACTTCCGAGACAGAAAGTATTAGTCACTGTGTGTGGGAGAAGGTGTTCTGCCTCTGTGCG